CATATCCTGCAACTTTAGTGAATTCATTGATTAGTTCTGAGAGATTTTGGTGACATCTTTAGGATTTTCTATATATAAGATCATAACACCTGCAAACAATGACAGTTTTACCTCTTTCTTTCTGGGCTAGATTAGATGACTTTCATTTCTTCAGCATCATCTTTTTTTTTTTTTTTTTTCCTGTCTAATTCCCTTGCTGAGATGTCTAGTACTGTGTTGAATGGGAGTATCCTTGTCTTGTTTCTGATTTTAGAGGAAAAGCTTTCAACCTTTTACTATTCAGTATGATGTTAGTTGTAGGCTTGTCATTATTGATTTTTTTTTTATCATAAATGGATGTTGGATTTTGTTAAATGGTTTTCTGCATCAGTTGAAGTGATTGTGTTAATTCCCTTGCTGAGATGTCTAGTACTGTGTTGAATGGGAGTATCCTTGTCTTGTTTCTGATTTTAGAGGAAAAGCTTTCAACCTTTTACTATTCAGTATGATGTTAGTTGTAGGCTTGTCATTATTGATTTTTTTTTTATCATAAATGGATGTTGGATTTTGTTAAATGGTTTTCTGCATCAGTTGAAGTGATTGTGTGATTTTAAACTGTAATTCTATTAATGTGAGTCACATTTATTAATTTGGGTCTATTAAACCATCCTTGCATCCCAGGGGTAAATCCCACTTGATCATGGTGTATGATCCTTGGAATGCAGCTACATTTGAATTTAGTTTGCTAGTATTTTGTTGAGAATATTTACATCTCTTTACCAGGGATATTGGCCTATAGTTTTCTTATAGTATCCTTATCTGACTTTGGTACAAGGGTAATGCTGGCCTTGTAGAATGAATTTGGCAGTATTCCTTCTTCTGTTTTTTGGATGAGTTTAAAATTTGGTGTTAATTCTTCTTTAAATATTTGGAGAATTCACCAGTAAAGCCATCTGGTCTGGGCTTTTATTTTCTAGGAGATTTCAGTTACTGATTGAATATCCTTATTTGTTATAGGTCTCATCAGACTTGGTATTTCTTCATGATTCAGTCTTCGTAGGTTGAAATTTTCTAGGAATATATCTATTTTTTCTAGGTTATCCAGTTGTTTGCATATAATTGTTCAAAGTTGTCTTTCATAATTCTTTATATTTCTGTTATCAGTTGTAATATTCTCTTTTTTTCCTCAATTAATTTGTGTCTTTTTTTTAAAAGTCTAGCTAGAGATTTGTCAACTTTATCTTTTCTAAAAACTAGTTTTGGTTTTGTTGATCTTTTTATTGTTTTTCTGGTTTCTATTTCATTTATTTGCACTCTGATCTTTGTCATTTCCTTCTTTCTGCTAATTTTAGGCTTAGTTTGTTCTTTTCTAGTTTTGGGGGGTATAAAGCGAGGTTGTTTGAGATCTTTTTTCTTCTGTAGGTATTTATCACTGTCAATGTCCCTCTTAGAACTGCTTTAGCTGCATCCCATATATTTTGGTATATCGTGTTTCGTTTATTGTTTGTTTCAAGATAGTTTTTGATTTCCCTTTTGATTCCATTGAATCTATTGGTTGTTCAGGATTGTGTTGTTTAATTTTTGCATATTTGTGAATTTTCCAGTTTCTTCCTGTTATTAATTTCTAGTTTCATACCATTGTGGTCAGAAAAGATCTTGGTGTGATTTTAGTCTTCAGTTTGCTAACACCCATTTTGTATCCTGTCATATGTTCTATCCTGAAGAATGTTCCATGTGCATTGGAGAATAATTATTCTACTACTGTTAGGTTGAATGTTCTGTATATATCTATTAGTATTAGGTTCATACTTCTGGCTCCCTTTCTTGGAAGAATTTTTAAGCTTGTATGCCTTTTCTGAATCCTAAAACACAATATACCTAAGTCTTGACTAGTTCCCTTTTGCTTTCCCAAGGGAGGCACTAAAGCTGAAGTTCGTGGTTTCTGCCTGGCCCACAGATTTGAGTTGGCTACCTGCACATGCTTACTAGCCATCTGCCAAAGCGCACTCTCACTGCTGCTCTTGGGAGCCCAAAAGGGTTGGGGATGTGCGTGGTGAGGCATGCAGAATACTGGGGGTTCCCATGGGCCAGTTGGAGGGATCCGTGGGTGAGGCATCCTCAGTGATTCATGGGTGGGCTTGTTGGAGTCTGTGATGCAGTTAGTAGGATCCGCATCCTTTTAATTTCCTCGGAGAGTTCTATCTGGCACTCTCCTATCCTCTACCTAACCAGTCTTGCAGCTTACGATTTAGTACTCAGAATGGGGTAAGAGAAAAATGGCCCCTTTTACCAGCATCCTATATAGCTAGGAAAGCCAAGCACTCACTCACATGCTCTCACTTTCCTCCAAGGGAAAAGTCACAGGCCGAGAACATCTCTCTTGGCCCTGAGCTGTGCTGCTTTGGCAGAGATGTGATGTGAGTAAAGTCAAACTGTTTCTCTTACTCTGTCCAATGAATCCAAACTCATATTTTTTGCTCCAGTAGTATGCTGGAACTTCTGCAGTGGAAACTGGAATTTGCACAAAGGTGCTTTCATCTTTAGGTGATTGTCTAAAACAGTGTTCTCTCACAGTCAAGAGGGACTAGAGCCAGTTCATGGGACATTGCAGGGGTCACAACCAGGACCAAGGTCTATATGTTTATTACCCAACACACAGTTTGATGAGACTCCTCCCAGATCCCGGGCGTGTAATGCTGGATCCCACAGCTCCCACAAAGGCACTTTTGTTCGTTCTTGGATACCAGATTGTTGTTGGGAAGGGAAATGAATGAGGAACGTGTTATTCAGCCATATTGTTGATATCACTCTCCAATGCCACACCATTCTTTTTGGAAGAGACCAGATTGTGACCATATTTTGCTATCTTCTTACTAAATGTTCTCTAGATTCATTACATTATACCCACTTTGGGTGAATTATCTGTAGAATATCTATATTATTGTTTAATAATATACAAATTAGCATTTATTTGCTATAGAAAGTAGTATGAAATACCTTTCTAGAATTTGAATTGGTCTGCAAAGCAGCAGAGCTACTAATTGTGAACATATTTGGGCTGTGTAAATTTCCCATTTTCCTTTTATTATCTGAACCAGCTATTATTTTCTGTAGGGAATATAAGGTTTAGGTGCACATTAATAAAAGATGCATTAGTAAAGCCCACTAATTAGGTTACTTCTGATGAGCTGTTCTGAAATGCACTTGAAGTACAGACAGGGTAAGAATAAGTATTTTACCAAATAAAATACTCTAGCCCAGTGGAATTGGCACAGAACTGGCCCTACTCAAGCAGACTAGGATTCAATATTTTTTATTAGGGCCCCTTTCCATTAAGAATTACTTTCTCTGCTGACTGAATTCCCATCCTAGGGCACGCTTTCATGTTCATTTTTCCAGGCACTATTTAAAAATTCAATTATTTGTGGCTTTACATAACCTCATAATGTTGTCTAGTTTGTCTTTCCTCCAGTGGTAAAAGAGTATGGCTGTTGAGTCAGAGCACTGGGCATTTCTGAGAGGTACATGGGGAAATTATTTAGTTTTGCTTCAAGCTGGTCATAAATGGATATGCTAATTAGGCACATTCACTTCGCTATCCAAGCTATATTCTTAAGGAGTAATAGAGCCCATTGAAACTTCAGCAAATTTTTTTTTTTTTTTTTTTGGAATGCAGCATGTGCTGGGACTATAATGTAATTTCTGTGATGATATTTTGTTGTTTATTATATAACATCAATATAAGAATTTATTTGAAAGGGAGTAGTTTATAGGCAGAAAAGAAACTGACATGGATTAAGCACTACTATGTTCTTGCCGTTTTATAATTTTATTTAATTCTTACATCAGTACTGCTAAGTAAATTATATAATCCCCATCTTCACAGATAAGGAAACTGAGTCTTAGAAATGTTAGTTGTTTGGTCAAGGTCTGACTGTGTCAGTGCCAAACCAATGTCTTTCCACAGCTAATTATTTTCATTACTGCCCTCCAAATGTTAGTGGAGGTGAGTCAACTCAAATTGCTTTCAATAACCTGGCTTTGGGCTGAATTCAGATCTGGGAGTGAATCCTGTGTTTATAATCTGGGTCCAATCATTTGACCTCTCTTAACCGCATTGTAGAATGAGGCTAATGCTTCACACACCAAGGATTTTCATGAAGATAAATGATGTGATCTGTGTAAAGAATGTAACCCAGTGTCTCACCTGATAGATGATTTTTTTGTTTTAATTTCTGATAGATGGGTTTTTTTTGTTTTAATTTTCTATCCAGTAATTGGGTCATCTTCGAATATGACGATGGTATCTCAGAATGCTTTGGGGATATTTCACTTTTTAAATTTTTAATGTATCAAGTGATTGCCTCTATCTTCAGAAATTAGCTTTATTTTTATGAGTCTATGCTTCAGGTGTGTGCAGAATATGAAAATAATGTTTATGTTTTCTTAAGACTATATAGGCCTTAGATACAGATTTTAAATGAGGAAATTTATTTGATGTCTTAAGTAATTTGTAATTTAACATTTCAGGTTTTGTTTTACTCATGATCTATATATCACAATGCAACAGATATTAGAATTAGCACCTGGTATCCTGATATCTGTTAGTCCATTGACTGCCACCTAAAGGATCATCCAACTTTAAATAGTTTGATGAGGCAAGACAAGCACAGATTAGAGCCAGTCTGGAGCCAGACTATGTACCTCTCCATGTCTTCAAATTGTGGATCATATAGCCACAGTTTCCTGGAATTATTGTGAGGATTTGATGAGACAGTGTGTCCAGACTACTGCGCACAGAGCTCAGTGCATGACAATTAGGCCTTCTCTTCTCATCCATTAGTGGTAAGGTACTTGCTTAAGACACAGATATCCTGAAGTTGTTATAGTTTCTTTCTCTCTTGAATAATAATATCACTTTACCAACTATCTGTTATTGGTAATTTTGTTCTATTTTAAGTGTTTGGTTTCATAATAATAAACTTATTTATAAAGTAAATCATTGGATTTGTTCTTACCAGTGATACCAAGAAGAAGCAGGGAATGAGGAAAAGGAACAACAATGAAGTGGAAGACACGGGACCCACAAGTCATAACAGAAAGAAGGCCAAGTGGGAAACCTTAGAGCCTTTGGACACGGGCCTATCTTTAGCAGAAGATGAAGAACTCGTGTTACATCTGCTCAAAAGTCAAAGCTAAATACTTCCTGCTCTTGTCTTCGCCTTAAAACCTCTGGTCATGATTATGTGGACAAGTTGAAAAAACAATAGGCTTTGAGGAACTTAGGTAACATGAGTCCCATGTCCAAAGGACTCATTCTCCAGACAAAAGTGATCATATCTCTAAGCCCCATTCATAAGAGGTGCTTGTGCCATCCCAGAGCAAACTCAGAGTGAGGATGGATGATAAAATTTATTGATCCCATTTTCTAGCATGTGCTCTGTTAATTTTTTATCCATGGGTTCCTACATTTTTGTCATTGGAAATGCTCCCTTTGTTTTAATGGCACGTTCTGGAGACCTTGTTTCATTGTTAGGAATTCCTGTGTTGCTTTTTTTACTGTGTACTGTTAAATAGAATTGCTCACAATTTTGATTATTTAATATCTTTAAAGAGAATACGATGGACCAGCCCCAAGAAAGAATGAGTATTTTTGAATTGAGACAATTAAAAATAAACATATTTCTTATTAAAATTATTGTTTTCATGTGTCTAGTAGTATTAGAGCACTCTCAGGGGAAGAGTCTTAAAATGCCTGGCCAATTCCTGAAACAGTGAATTTTTAGTATTCTTAAATTAGCCTTCTCAAAGATGTCATTTAACTTAAACTTGGAAATTTGCTAGCTGTCATTTATAAAATCTATAGAAATCCCAAATATAAAGCTTTGTGACTGAAACCTAATCTCTTGGCACATAGTAGCTTCAAGGCCTTCTGTAAGTGCCTTCACAGCCATTTCCTCTAGCAAATGGAAACCGACTCTGAGAGGTTGGAGAGAATAAGATCAACACATTGCAATGAGCAGAGTGAGGAGATGGAGAGAGAGCCCTGATGGCATTGTTTGAGCCCCTGGACATTAGCTGAATCTACTCCTCATAGTTCCCAGTTATGTCATGGGTTGGTAAATTCCTTTTTTGCATAAACTGCTTTGAGTTGTATTCTGTCCCTGGAGCTGAATGGATCCTGACCTTAATATATACATTGTAGGCGATTTTAGTTTGCTGATTTTGAAAACTAATTAAAACATCATAATAGTGTTGAGAAAAGCTCAGGTAACAACTCGTGGTAGATTATATTCTTGTTTAGCAAATATTTACTCCAGCCCCCTCCTTCCCTTGGGAAGCATATTTTTTCCATGCTACTGATATTGGACTTGGCCATGTATTTTACTTTAGCTCTTGGAATATGGTGAAAGTGACTGTGTGCTAGTTTAAGCAGAGGCTTTAAAATGCACTGATGTTTCCCTCAGCCCTTTTGTACGCCTGCCTTCCATCTTGAGGCCAGCACGGACCAAAGAGAGGACACTGCTTCAGTCTGGCACAAGGTGAAAAGACATGTGAAACAGACCTGGAGCTACCACAGTCACCTGTCAAACCTGTAGAGCAAGAAATCCACTGAGACTTGGGGAGTTATCACAGGAAAAACCTGATTAGTCCATGAGGTGGGAGAGGCATATAACCAATGATCAGGAGCGTTCATTCATTCAATAAACATTAATTCAGCAACTACCATATACTAGACACTGTATTTGTGAGAAATCCAAGTAGTTCCCTCCCCTGCTACCATATAGTAGAGGAAAGAGAAAAGCAAATTCATAATTTTAGTCATTATGAAAAGGAAGTGAGAAGAGAAAGATTATTTGAGTGAGAAAGCTGCTTAGCCTGGTACCCAAAGATGAATTCCTGCCTGATGCTTAACTCAGGCTGAGAGGCCATTCATCAGACTCACTCATGTAAGATGATCCCTAAAATTGCCTATGTCTCCGAGAGTAGATATACCCAGGAGCAGAACCCTTTGGAGGGCTGCCATCTCATAAGCTTAACATGGCATTTTCGATTTGTTTGGGGCTATAAAAAATGGATAAGTTTAATTAAATGTAATTAATTTTGTTATACAACATTTGGAATACCCTGAACATGGAAAGTCATCTCTAGGACTGTCGGAGTCTGCCAGGAGATGCAGATGTTCCTGGGAACTGTGGGGAGGAAGCAGAGGATGGGAAATGGTAGCAGAGGCAGAGGGGAAAGAGCCTGCAACCAAGATTTCAAATCCCCATTTCATATCTTTTAAGACCATTTTAACTAGACATGTAATCATAGTATGATTTTCTTCCACAGCCCCTGCTGATCAGACAGCCCGGGGCAGACATGTTTTATACTGTATTACCCAGTGCCTGCTGCGTCAGGTATTGGCAGCTAATCTAAAGGCCAGATGAGAGAGGCTGGTGCAAAAACCTCTGCCCAGACAGGGACAGATTGGGCAAATAATGTTCCTACTCTCAGAAACTGAAATTCAGGAAGTCAGCAAAATAAGATTATGAGACAGACCAGGAAGCACATGGTAGGCAAAAAGTGGGCTCAGATTCAGAGTTATGCAAAGCCGTATGTAAGTAAAAACTCGGGCAAAAAAGATAAAAGAGTAAATGATGAGGGTTCCAGTTGGTTATGGAACGTGAGGCAAATACGTAGAGTGTAATGAATCCGGGCAGAGCAGCAAAGTCCTGCAGATGCCCGTTCTTGAGATCTCTGAGATCCACGCTGACCATCCAGGTCCTGTCTCCAGGAGGCTTCCCTTCTGCTGGGTCCTATTCTTAGATTTCTGTGCAGTCGGTCTCCTTTCCTGCCTGAGGTGTTAGACCCCATTTTCTGAGCTAGTCCTTGTTTTTTTTTGCACCCAAAAGACCTTCAGTAAAACTCAGAATACCCTAATGCTGTGCTACTTAGACTTTAATATGCTCGGGAATTACCAGGGGATCTTTTGAAAGTGCTAATCCCAAATCATAGGTCTGAGCGAGGCCTGGGATTCTGCATTTCTTACAAGCTCCCAGGTAATGATATGCTGCCGGCCCCTGGACACATTTGAGTAGCAAGGCACTAATGGAATTCAGAGTTATTAAAATCATTATTCACAGATAAGGATTCTGTCAGAGTCGCAGCAGGAAACAGATGGTGCACACGAATTGGGATCATTCTAAGGGGATTTAATAAAGGATTATTTACATAGGCCAGGGCAGGGTAAGGAAACCACAAATGGGTAAGGAAATCTAAGGTTAGTCATGGAAGTGTTAAGACTCCTTGTCCTGAAGGGATGAGGGGGGAGGGCAGAAGAGACTACCAACGTTGGACCGGCCGTTGACATGCAGCTGGCCTGAGGTGACCACAGGAAACCATCCTAGATGATAAGTTCTGTGACCTCACTCTCCTGCTGCTCTAGACTCCTGCCAGTGGACCCCACTGGCCCCAACCAAAGCCAGAAAGAAATTTCCTATAGACATAACCTATATAGTCCCCCAGGATGCAGCAAGGTAGAGAAGCATAAGCAGACAACAGAAGAAATTGGGATAGAGATGTAGGACATAAAAACGTGGGATCTTTTTATGGGTGGAGAGGCCCTCAGACTTTGTCCCTTCAACACCTACTATGTACCAGGCATTGTTCTAAGTACTAGACACATAGCAAGGATGGACAACAAGCAAAGCAGCACGTAAAGCACTGCTGGCTAGGGATAAATGTGCAGAACGATAAAGCAGAGTAAGGAGATAGAGCATAGGGAGCAGGGGTTATTTCGATGAAGGCCCGCAAGACCTCTCGGGTACGAAGGCCAGAGGAACAGGGCCTACTTCCCACACGTGCTAGCAGCACCTTAGCATCAGGATGCGAGTGAAGAAAACTGTCCAACTGTATGGACTGGTCTCACCAGGAAATTCATGACCCCTGTCCTCTACTGGGTCTTCTGTGCTGCTTTCCTAACTTTTTCTCTCTCCTACTCTCCAAGACCCTTACTTTACACCTTTTCTTCTCATCTTAAATCTCCAAAACCACTTTCTCTTCTTCATTCTTGGCTGATGACCTTACTTTCCATTTTACTGAGAAAATAGAAATAATCAAAAGAGACTTTTCCTAAGCTCCCGCATCACACCCACCTGCCTCCCACATCTGGTCCTCTGCCTTCCCTCCTGCTGCTGGAGAGGGACTGCCCAAACTCTGCCCAAGGCCAAACCCCCTACACATGTGCTGGGTCCCACCTCTTCTGGCCCTCAAGGCTATCACTTCTGCAGTGCCCCCCCACCCCCCTCTCTACAGTATCAATTTTCCCTTCCTTCTGGGTTATTCCCATCAGTGAAGAAACATGCTATGATGTCTCCTGTTTTAAAACAAAGCCTTAGCACGCCCCACACCCCATTTCTCTTTTCCCTTTACGGTAAAACTATGCAAAAGAGTGGTCTCTATCCCCTATCTGTACTTCTTCCCTTCTCAGTCTTTTTCTTAAGTGTTTTATTGAGGTATAATTGGTATTGAATAAAATGTACATTTAAAGTATATAATTTGATAAGTGCTGACATATGCATACATTCATGAAACCATCATAATGATCAATAATGAATATAGCCATTAGCCCTAGAAGTTTCCTTATGTTGCTTTGTAATCCCTGCCTCCCAGCCCTGCCCTCCGCTGTTCCCCGGCCAATCACCGATCTCTTTTCTGTCACTGTAGATTAGTTTTCGTGTCCTAGACTTTTATATAAATGGGCTTATACAGTACGTATTTTATCTGACTCTTCATACTCAGCATCATTATCTTGAGAGTCATCCATGTTGCAGTATATACCAATAGTTAATTCCTTTTTATTGCCAAGTAATAATCCATTGTATGGATCATACCACAGTTTGTTTATTCATTCATGGTTAAACAACAGGTGAAAAAAAGCTTCCAATTTTTGGCAAATAAAACTGCCATTCAGGACTTTCCTATACAAGTCTTTGTATGGTCATATGTTTTCATTTCGCTTAAGTACCTGTGGGTGGGGATAGCTGACTCATATGGTAGTTGTGTATTTAACTTTTTAAGAAACTGCCAAATGGTCTTTCAAAGTGGTTGTACTATTTTACATTTCTACCAATAGAGTATGAGAGTCCCAGCTTCACACCCTCGGCAACACTTGATATTTATTTTATTTTTTTAATTGAAGTATAATTGACATGTAACATTAATTTCAGGCATACAACATAATGATTTGCTATTTGGATACATTGGGAAGTGACCACAATAAATCTAGTTAACATCCGTCACCATACATATTTACAAAATTTTTTTATCTTGTAATGAGAACTTTCATGTTCTATTCTCATAGCAACTTTCAATTATATAAAACAGTTTTATTAACCCAAAGTCACCGTACCGTACATTATATCCCCATAGCTTATTTATTTTATAATTGGAAGTTGTACCTTTTGACCCCCTTAACATTTATCCCACCCCTGTACCTCCTGCTTCTGGCAACAACTAATCTGTTCTTTGTATCTATGAGTTCGTTTTATTATTTTGTTCATCTTTTTAATTTTAGCCATTTAAATTGGTGTTAATGGTATCTCATGTGATTTTAATTTACAAAGATGAGTATCTTCATGTGCTTATTTGCTATCCACACATCTTCTTTAGTGAAGTCTCTGTTTAGATATTTTGCCCATTTAAAATAAT